ACGATTTTATGCTTTGGTGTCTTCGAGAAAGTTGGAGAAACCTGAAGCAAATTATCCCGATCAGCCAAAAATTATTTGAAGTTGAATTTCAATCTAAATCATTGTAGTGCTGGATAATTTGTTTGATGGATGTTTATAATTCATATTAAATTTTTAACTTTAATTTCTTTAATTCTATAAGTTGTTTGTTAGAATTTTTATGGAATATTTCTTTTAGTTATTCGCTATTGCTAGCAATCTTTTTTATGGACAATATTTTCTAAAACTAACTTAAACCCCCCAGTTTTGTTAACATAGTATATCTATTTATTCCTATGTTTATTTCAATTTTTTCTAAAATCTTTTCTATTTTTTTAAGTTTTATTTTAATATTTCTACATACTATACTAACTATCATTTACATATCACTTGAGTACTAAGCATATACGGACGTATTTCTTCGATCATATACATATATATATATATATATATATATATATGTGTGTGTGTGTGTGTGTGTGTGTGTGTGTGTGTATGTATATACGCACGTTTATGAGGTTTATGTTTAGTTTATGTTTATGTGGTTTATGTTTATGAGGTTTATGTGTGCGTGTGTATGTGTGCGAGTATGTATGTGTGTGCGTGTGAGTGTGTGTGTGGTGTGTGTGTGAGGGGTGTGTGTGCGTGCGCGAGTGTACGTATACAAATATCAAAAGGTATACTTGAAATACATTGCTACTAACAACCATCTTTGAACCAGCGCATTCAAAATTCTGATAAAAACATCGACAAATTTTTTGCTAGATAACGTCTGTTGTAAAAATATTTATTGAAATAAAATTGTTTAAAAAATAAAATATGGATTTTTGTTTTTAATTTATAAATATATAGCAACAGTTTCATAGTTTCATTAAATTTTCATGATGAACTTGGATAATTCTATTTTTAACAATTTCCAGAAAATTCTAGTAAGGAAAATTAAAAAGACAGACTTTAAATTGATTAATGCCAACAATTCCGTAAAATTCATACAATACTGTATAAAATATCGTCTCCTTCCAACATACATCTACACACACACACATATATATATATATATATATATATATATATATTATATATATATACATACATACAAATATTTATATGATAGCTATCTCAATGGTATCATCTCGTAATGATACAGATACAGAAAAATCAGCACTTTCCATACACGCGATCATCAATCAGACAGCCAGACCGCTATCTATCTATGTGATATCTCTATTGCTATCTCTATCTTTCTCTCATTTCAATTGAATTCAGAGTCGTGATTAAAGTCATTAACCTTTGAGTGTTAAGTATGAAGGACAGGCATAAAAGGCGAACACTCTTGCGACAAAAATATTCAAAAATATTCAAAAATTACATTTCATAAAGCTTTTCATAAGGATAAAATGAAATTTTTTAGAACTGTAAATGGAAAAGTTCTAACAAAAACATGCGTGCAAATGCGAATATATATAAATAAATAAATAAATATATATATATATATATTTATATATATGTATATATATGTATGTATGTATATATATATATATATATATATATATATATATATATATATATATATCACATCAACATACACATATTTAAATGCACGTATATGTTACACATACATATTTAAATAAAAATATATTCTCAAAAAGACACATATACACAAACAGACGCATAAAAGTACACATATGCCTACACATACATATATACGTACACATACAAACACATACACACACGTACACACAAAGGCACACACACACTCATACACACACACACACACACACACAGATGATGACAACGCTATGATAATATTAGAAAGATCTTGATATGATAATTAATGACTTGTAAGGCACTTCAAAAATAACTGCCATCCAATCTACCCGCCTAGCATTACTTTTATATTGAAGTAGTAGTAGTAGTTAAAGTAATAGTAATCATATCAGTAAAAGTAGTAGTAGTAGCAGCAGTAATGGTAGCAGCAGCAGTAGAAGTAGTAGTAATAGCAGTGGCAGTTAATATTTATTTGAAATTGAGGTAAGCGGGAATTGGAATTTGATTTTCAATTCTCAATTTTCTCCAATTTTTTTTTCTCATTTCCTATTCTCACCCTGATTTCCAGAAAATTGTTTTATTAATTTTTAATATATATCACAATACATATATCAAGTAGGAGGAGAATCGCGGGAATCCCATGGGATCCCATTGGGAATTATTAAAACAATTTTCTGGAATGAAAAATGAAGGGAATAACTCTATATAACTCTATACAACTTTGTATATTTCTGTATAATTCTATATAACTAAATATAACCATATATACTTTTATATAATTTTTTTATAAACCTATACAACTCTATATAACACTCCATCCTTTAAATAAAGATTTTAACTCTGCTGCTGGTCTACTTGCTCGTGCCCCTTTCTGTTTCAATTTATCCCTATAACTTGTTCCCTTGCACTGGCTACCCATGAAATAAAAAAGAAA